GAAGAACAGAACCGGATCAACGCAAAACACGCTCCGGACCCAAACGCCGTGGCACGCAAACAACAGTGGAGGGCCGCCACTGAACATAAAAAACGACACCCCCCCGCCCCAACCAACAAAGCACCAACAAACCCTGGACCCCTCTAGAACGCAGCAGCCCCACCCCGCGCCAGAAAAGATGGAGACTGCTGCCACCGAACAACCAAAACGCTAAAACCGAAGGAGCAAGAAAACTCAGCGACTCGACCCCCAGAGGCAAAGGCCAAAAGGAAAGAGCCGACGAAAAAACACACCGGAACCGAAGGAGCACTACCAACCGAGGAAAAGACAGAGCACACTGACCAGAGACCAGGATGGTGCAAGCGGCGCACGAACAGGCCGGAGGTGAAACGACGCACAAGACAGCTGACTAACGGTGCAGAAGCAACACCAAGACCGAAAGCAAGCTGGAGCGGCTCCGCCTGCGCCGCACGAAAAGAGGCGACAGTATGTGGCAAGACGACGGCCCCCAACCCCCACCAGAAAACCAAGCCGAGATTAAACCAAGCTAACAAGAGTAACCACCTAAGAAGAGACAGGAAAAGGAAGGACCGCCAAAATACCCCATACTGCCCCCAAGAGAAGCACGCAGGTGGGACACCTACCACGAAGCCACCCGACCACCAACCGGAGGCAAGACCGCGAGGCAGAACATAAGCAGCCCCGACAAGGCCCCTCCGAACCCAGGAAAAGGCAGAGTCGCGGAAAGATCTCGGGCGCGACCACCGAAACCCAGGCGGCACAAGGAGATGGAACGTCTGCCGAACAGAAAAACTCCCCAAAGCATGCAAGCCCGCCAGGAGTTCAGAAACGACGGGTCCGACGCGAGACAACGCAAGACCCCCCCCAAAAAAAAACAACTGGCAGGGCAAGCTAGGAAACCAAAGAAGGCGGAAGGGTCGCCGCCAGAACAGTACCCAAACCAAGGGGTACGAACAACTGCAATAGACCGAGACAAAGAAGCACATCACAGGACACAGGCTGACAAACGCCTAAGAACACACGCAGAACACCCCTGCTGCAGAGGAGACAGGAAGAAAGAGCAGAAGCACAAAAACCCCAGGAGAACAACCAGGGGTGGACAATCAGGCAGGGACAGAAAAAAACCCACGCAATCCCCAGGCACAAAACGGCAGCAAAGTGCCACTCCACAACCGGACACAGGAACAAGGACACGCCACTGTGAAACACGGTACCAATGCACACGTGCAGCAGCAGCAGCAACAGGCACCACTGCAACATGCAACATGTAAATAGCAACTCCCTTCTGCAAAGGCAGAGAACGGAGCAAGCAGACACCAGACAGGGCCAACGGAGACACGACAAAACTCCTCAGGCCCAGAAACCTGCACCAGGCGACCTACGGCGGAGAAACCCCGCTCGATACCTGCTGGATGAAGTACTGGGAGCTATTTTACACCTCAAGCCCGGCCCAAGGCCAGGCTAGACCGGCCATATGAATGGATATGTGTAACTTTCTAGCATCAGTCAAAATGCTAGGAGTTCTTGCCTACGTTCTTGCCTGGACCACGAGCCAGAACCTGGACCCCTCAAAGAGGCACAAAGAGCAATGGCCTATAGAAACCCCCTTGTGGTTGGGAGCATTCTATGTCTGCCATCGACCGGGATAGGTACCAAGAAAGGTAGGCGCCCCAAAACAAACCCCTATTCTGGTGAAAATATTACTACTGAAAGCTGAACGAGTGGACAGAACTCCCCAAACAAAATTATCAAACTAGCATGATGTCATCACGTCGCCGCGCCACCATCTGCGCAAGCCCCCCCCTCCCCAGGAGGGGGAAGGGGGAGCCCCATACTCTCCACACCGGTGATCCAACTGGCAGTTTTTAGGCTGGATGTCAAAATACGTGAAAAACGCCACCGACCGGAGGGAGGGAGGGATGCCGGGGAGCCTCCGGGACTCGCCCAGAAAATGGCCTTTCATTACGTTCAACGCTGGTTTTCTGGGGGGGGAACCTCGTCGGCTCCCCAGAGCTACCTCCCCACAGATAAGGAAAATAGGGAAGGATACGGGAGGCAGACGCCATGCGCCCTAACCTAAAAAACGAAGACCACAGACGAAACAAAGACCCTGCAGACCCAAACCCCCGAACAGGAACGAAGGAAGAAGGAAGGCCAAGATGCACTGAGAACAGCGAAAAACCCCGCAACCGAACAACAAAGGAAGCACACCCCCGGCAAGACCAACCATGCAGCAACCCAAAGACCAAAACGAGAAGAAAATAGACCACCTGGGCCAACGACCATGACGGCACCAGAACTCAAGAGCAGGTCGGTGGTGAGACAACGCCCAGGACAGCAAGCGGAACGGAGCAGAAGGAACCTCAACACCGAACGCAAGCTGGAGCGGCTCTGCCAGCACCACCCAATACGAGGTGACAGGACACGGTCCCAGACGACGGTCCTGGAACAACCCCGAAGGGAAGACAAGCCAACCCTATCAGAGACCGAAGGACCCTTCGCAGTGATAGGAAAACCGGAAGGGCCGCTAGACAAACCACACACTGCCCCCGAGATGAAACACGCAGGTGGGAGACCAACAATGAACTCACCAGTGCCGACATAAACGACGAGAAATGAGCACCACGAACTAAAGCGCAAAACGCGAATCTAAAAACAGCGACCCCGCAACCCAAAGGGGCAACATAACCAGCTCCAGCAGGGAAGAATCACACACACGCGTCCCTGAGACATCTAAGAGGAGAACTACACAGGACGTGAACCGCAGGAAAGCAAACACCCGTTGCGGAAAAGGAACAAAGAAAAACTGTTGCCAGGACCGGAACCCAGCTACCAGTTCCAAGAAAAGGAACCAGTAAGTCAGGAACGGCGGACCGAAAGTCCACAACCCCCCACGGACAGTGCAAGACCAAAGCCTGCAGTAAGTCACAAAGAAAAATCGAAGGAACTCGGTACCACAACGGAACACCGGAGAAGTCCAATAGCAGGGAACTGAACATGGACAGAGGCCCACTCGAGCACCCAACATCAGGATAGTCAAGAAGCACCAACCCATATACACAGATAAGTGTAGCATAGTAGGAGGAAAAACGGAAATAGGCAAGGAAAACCCCGAATACAGACCAAGGAGCGGCCGGGAAGTAATGCACACGACCAACCACAAAATGTGTAGAGGAGGGCGTACATACCTGAGGGATCTCTTGGACAGCAGAGTGCAGCCAGGCACCGAAGATAGGCAAGAAAGGATTGTCCAGATAGGGAAAACACCTGGAGCCGGCAACAAAACCAAAAGCACCGAAATGTGGGGCAGAGCTCCACAGGACAATAAAGAACAAGATACATGGACAAAGTTAAGTCACTGAAGACACACGTAAGGTGACCAAAACACACCACACCACACCAAACATCCCTGTTAGGAGCCATCGACGCAACCCCGCCAAGCGGGGAGGAGAGCAAACAATGATGGAGCAGTGACCAAGGGAGGCACATGCCACCCTTGTGGCACGTTTGGACACGTAACAAAGCAGAGAAAATAACCATTGAGGATCTAGAGGATGTTCAGGAATTTCTGAACAAGGAAGATTGTCTTGCTAGATTGAAATATCTGGGAAAGCAAGAACTTGTGCTGGCGAGTGCCTATCTAGAGATCAAAATACGAGAGAGTGATTCCCGGGTTGAAATCTTATCAAAGGTTTATAAGCACTTAAAGGCCGGGGAGAAGCAGGAAAGTGAGGCACAGAGTACAAAGGAAAGTGAGAGCTTCCAGTGAACAGGAAGATAAAGGTAGTGACGGTGAAAGTGATGTGGGTAAACTGAATATAAGTTTTCTAACTGTCAAAATGCGTGCTTTAGAAATAAATCGTGAAATAGGGTGGAAGAAATTAGAAATAGAACGAGAAATGAAAGAGAAGGAAATGGCTTTGAAAGAGAAGGAGATGGAAATGAAATGTTTGGAATTAGAGAAGGAAAGAGAAGAACAAAGAGAAAGAGACGAACGTGAAAGGCAAGAAAAGAAGAAAAGGAGAAGGAAAGACTACACTAGTTAGAAGTGCTACGATTAGGTGGTCAGAAGGAAACAAAGGAAACGAGTAGTTTCGATCCGATAAGAAATATGAAGATGGTCCCAAAATTCAACGAAAAGGAAGTTTCGAAGTTCTTCGCTGCCTTCGAGAAGGTTGCTGCCTCTTTGGATTGGCCAAAGGAGAATTGGGCCATCATGATGCAGTTCGTCTTGACTGGGAAGGCCCAAATTGCCTACTCCACGTTGTCCCTTGATGACTCCAGTGATTACGACAAGGTGAAGAAGGTAGTGCTCATGGCTTATCAGTTGGTGCCAGAAGCTTATAGGCAAAAGTTCAGGAACCTGAAGAACCCCCCTCCACACATGCAGCTCTAAGCATACACAAAAATTGCCTCATGCTACACTGCAGTGTACAGGAAATTGCCCCCAAAAGCAAACATCACCACTTAGCTGAACAAAATTGAGACACTGGCTGGCGGTGAGCTACCTTCCCCTTCCCCCAGAAGCGAGGGGAGACCACGCAAACAGGCTTGCACAAGTTCTGAGAGAATTTTATCATTTGTTTACATTAGTTTGGGGAGTTGTTTAGTTAGGTTTTGACCTCTCCTGAAGCCAGCAGCGGTTTATTTTAAATCCCTGACTTTCTGGTTGCCTTCCCTTTGAGGTGACGAAAATATATGTTGCCGCTCCCAGTGCCTCTTTGAGTGAGCCAGGTTTTTGCACTGGATTTCCAGTAGGTCTAAAGAACTTTAAGGCTGATGTGACTAAGTAAATGATACAGTATCAGTATGTAGTATCTTGAGGGAACCTCAAGGGTCTCCCCCAGGAATAGAAAATTCATTTTTGAATATTTTATTAAACACTTCCAGTTGCATTTGATAACACACACTACTTAGAGTATATACATATAACACACACATTACATCTTCACTTTCTTCACTTAAAGTGAGGAATTTACCTTTGTCTTTGTTCATAATCAGTTCTGAGCTTGGCAACAGCTGGAAACGATCATCCATCTGGCAAACTTTAACACAGTTCGTAAGGCTCTCCTCTAGTCCAACGACAAATTTTAACCTGGTGAAGAGAAAAAACTTTATTCTTTATACTGTATTACAAGATTATGACCATTAGTTATTATCTATTATCAGTTCCTAAATATATACAGCATTAAATAAATTAAAAATCCAGCACAAACAAGCAAATTGTATTTAAAAATTTGTATAAAAAATTTTAATATAAAATTTTTTTATGTAATGAAATGTCATTTTCTGGGCGAAGCCCCAGAGTCTACCTGAAGCTATTCGAACTGATATAGTGCTTTATTAGCTTTGGTCATCAGTCACGGGAGTTCTTTTGCCTACTGGGGACCACGAGCCAGACACAGCCCCTCCTCAGAGAGGCGCAGGAAGCAATGGCGTATGAGCACTTTACATTTAAAGTATGTCATATTCCACTATCGTCTAGGGTGGGCACCCAGAAAGATAGAACAAAAACAAACTAGCCATTGAATTGCAACATATAGCCAGAGAGAGCAAAGAAACTACTGCCGAAAGAAAAAACTTGCAACCCTACACTCAACTAGTACTCCCGTTCATTAGTGTATTCCCCCCCCCCCCCCCCTGCCCCCAAAAAGTTATTGGCATGATGAAAAAAACGCCGACCCGAGGAAGGGAGGGTGTTAGGGAGCCTCCAGGGCTTTGCCCAGAAAATGACATTTCAAATTCAAATTCAAAATTCAAATTCAAATGTTTATTCAGGTAAGGTTCATACATACAAGGTGTGAAACAAACATTGATGGATTTATAGATTGAGCTAGTACATACAATGCCTAAAGCCACTATGACACAAAGCGTTTTGGGCAGGAATTTTGAGTTTCATTACACTCAAAGCATTTCTGGGGAGCCCTGTTGACTCCCTGAAGCTAACTACTGTTATGACCCCATGTAGTCTGGGTGGAACGAATCTACACACCGAGAGAGTTATTCTACCTGCCGAACCTGAGACTGAGAGGTCAGAGAAAAGATGTATATATAAATAATTAAATGGACGTCATTGAGTAATCTCAGGATACTAGCTGCGAATGGACGTTGGTAATAAGTGACATGAAGTGAGATGTTGATACTTTGGGGACGTGAAGTGACGCTAGCCGGAGGTCTGACTTCACTTGAGTCGCAACTGTCTTCAGAGGTGGATGTACTTTTGTTGATCTGCACGAAAGAAGAATATAGTTCCCTGAGTTAGTGGTGGACAAAGACTACTCGTTTGCAAGTGTGTGGAAGCTGTTGGGGACTTAGTACACCGTTTTTCTGTGATTTTGATGATTAGAGGCAGTCTAGAAGTGTTTGGCCGCACCTTTGTAGAACTGTAATTGTTCTGCCTTCAAGAGGAAGGAAGCAAGCAGGCATTTTTGTGGTGGAGCCTGCTGGGCGACGATTGTGAACAAGTCGTGGACTAGAGGAAATCTTGTGAGGCAGTCCTGAAGCATTTTTGTTAGCAGCTGGTGTGAGCTCCATTGTTGAGGACCAGGGCCTGAACATCTCTACACCACAAATTCTGCAGTAAGCTCATATAAGAGTTGTTACAGTGGTTGCCTGTGTTTGATCGTCTGCCCAGCGATCATGGCCAGTGTCTATGTATATAGTCCATATATTTTATTGAGCTAGTGAGCTAAAATAAGATAGGAGAGATAGGAAAACATGCTGGAGGGAGGAGTGATACGTCCGCCCTCGCCTAAGGTCAGTGACTGATTGATGGGACGGGGCCCCCAGCAACGTGTCTGGACATGTTCCTGTAGTGGACCTGCCCAGGATGGGGGGAGGACCATCGCAGTGATGCTTTGTTAGGAAAACATATTTATTGGCATTGTAATGGAATTGCAGATTTGTTTGGGAAGGAGTTCATGGAAAAACTTCAAAATTAGAGAAGTTGATGGAGGAACTTTGATGTCAGAGAAGAAGAAAATGGAGGAACTTCGAGGCTGTTGAAATATATGCTGAACTCTGTGGTAGATCAGAACTCCATAGTGAGGAGTTGTGGAGTTGAGCAGTGTAGCAGTGGAGAGGAGCTACACAAGTCTCAGTAGAATCAGTGGTGAAATGTCACTGATGTTGGATTAGGACTTCATTGTGCAGCAGTTTGGAAGAACTGCAGAAATGCCTTTCCTAATATTTGAGGACCTGGAGATATATATTAGTATAAGTAGATACTCACCAGTAATACTAAGTAGTATTAGTAGTAAACCTCTAGGAGCAGAACAGAGGTTCACAGTGGATAAACACAATGTATAAAGGGAGTGCTAGAATGCTTACTGGCATGTAAGATGCAGTGTAAGGTAAGAGATTGATTTCTTCTTTTGTTGGGAGATTAGTTTTCTATATTTTTAGGGCTGAGGATACAGTATTGTTGTGACAGGATTTCAGCCCCATTTAGTGAGGGAGCAGTAAGTGTGAAGTCATGGGCTAAGCAGCCACTTGATATGGACGGATGGTGATATTGTTGATATGATATTGGAATGCTATCAGAAGCAGGTTAGTGATGTATGACAACGTTCTATTTCATTTGTTATGTATTGTATATGTTTTCTTTGTATATAAAATGTACATGTTTGCTGGCTTTTGCTCTTGTCCTGGGGAAGACAAGAAGAAAGGAGGGAAGAAGGGAGGGGAAAAAAAATAAAGAGAGAGAGAGAGTGTGTGAGTGTGTGAGTGTGAGAGTGTGAGAGTGAGTGTGAGAGTGAGTGTGAGAGTGAGTGTGAGAGTGAGAGTGAGTGTGAGAGTGAGTGTGAGAGTGAGTGTGAGAGTGAGTGTGAGAGTGAGTGTGAGTGAGTGTGAGAGTGAGTGTGAGAGTGAGTGTGAGAGTGAGTGTGAGAGTGAGTGTGAGAGAGTGTGAGAGAGTGTGAGAGAGTGTGAGAGAGTGTGAGAGAGTGTGAGAGAGTGTGAGAGAGTGTGAGAGAGTGAGTGAGTGAGTGAGTGAGTGAGTGAGTGAGTGAGTGAGTGAGTGAGTGAGTGAGTGAGTGAGTGAGTGAGTGAGTGAGTGAGTGAGTGAGTGAGTGAGTGAGTGAGTGAGAGTGAGTGTGTAATTACCTAAGTGTAATTACCTAAGTGTAGTTACAGGATGAGAGCTACGCTCGTGGTGTCCCGTCTTCCCAGCACTCTTTGTCATATAATGCTTTGAAACTACTGACAGTCTTGGCCTCCACCACCTTCTCACTTAACTTGTTCCAACCGTCTACCACTATTTGCCAAGGTGAATTTTCTTATAATTCTTCGGCATCTGTGTTTAAATAGTTTAAAGCTATGACCTCTTGTTCTTGAAGTTCCAGGTCTCAGGAAGTCTTCCCTGTCAATTTTATCAATTCCTGTTATTATTTTGTACGTAGTGATCATATCACCTCTTTTTCTTGTCTTCTAGTTTTGGCATATTTAATGCTTCTAACCTCTCCTCATAGCTCTTGCCCTTCAGTACTTCACGGGAGTCACTTAGTAGCATGTCTTTGCACCTTTTCCAGTTTGTTGATGTGCTTCTTAACACTTTCGCTCACCCCGCGCGCCACCCCTCAACTGTGCGATATGGGCCCCAGCGTGTCACGGGAGCGTGCGTTAATTCCGAAGAGCGTATACCCTCTTCAACTTTGTCACCTCAATTCTCCTTCTATGAGATTAAATTTGGTATCATTGTGTTCGCAATAAAATTCTCTACAGCACTAAATGCATATAAACTCCAAAAGCCGGGCTAATTACCCGCAGCAAACAGAGAAAGTGCGAACGAGTTACCCGGGAGCGCGCAAACAGGATAAAATGTTTTCACTATTTTCACTCTGGTCACCTCAATTTTTGTCCTAGGTCTTTCATTTTGGTCTCAATGGGTTCGTAATAAAATTCTCTAGAGGAACATGAGCATATAAAATAAAAAACCTGGTCACGCTCCAACCGCCGACGAGTTGAAGACTGGCCACACGTTAGCCGTGAATGAGCGCTCAGACGCCTTCCTGCTACACTCCCAATTCCCGCCCTTTTCAAGAATTTCTTTTGCAATTTTCTTCCTGGAAGGGCCTTGTTCATGATTACTATCCCTCGTGGAGTAAGCGTAGATAGTTTCTAAAGCCGCAGTAAGAAATATAGCCACGGAAAATAGCCGAAATGTTCACACGTTTGAGATGCGAGGGGAGGCGACATTGGTCACAACAGTGGAGCAAAGACAATGGGCCTACAACGTGTGCCAAGCCGCCTGACGGCCACGAGGCTCAACAAAGAAAATGGGAAGACATCAGCGCACATTTTAAAACCAGTCCCCAAAAAATTGGAAAAAAACCCGATTTTTGGCGATTATTTAAAGTGGATGACGCAATGCTGCGTCATCCCCGATATTACCGCCAGTAAACAGATGACGCAATGCTGCGTCATGCCCGGGCGAAAGTGTTAAGACATGGGCACCACACAACAGCTGCATATTCTAGCTTTGGCCTAACAAAAGTCATGAACAATTTCTTTAGTATATTGCCATCCATGTATTTAAATGCAATTCTGAAGTTAGAAAGCATCGCATAGGCTCCTTGCACAATATTCTTTATGTGGTCCTCAGGTGATAGTTTTCTATCTAGAACCACCCCTAGATCTCTTTCTTTATCAGAATTCTTTAAAGATTTCTCACATAATATATAGGTTGTGTGGGGTCTATGTTCTCCTATTCCACATTCCATAACATGACATTTATTAACATTGAATTCCATTTGCCAAGTGGTGCTCCATCTACTTATTTTGTCCAGGTCTTCTTGAAGGGCATGACAATCATCTAAATTTCTTATCCTTCCTATTATCTTAGTATCATCAGCAAACATGTTCATATAATTCTGTATACCAACTGGTAGATCATTTATGTACACAATAAGCATCACTGGTGCAAGAACTGAACCGTGTGGTACTCCACTTGTGACATTTCTCCATTCCGATACATTGCCTCTGATTACTGCCCTCATTTTTCTATCAGTCAGAAAATTTTTCATCCATGATAGAAGCTTACCTGTCACCCCTCCAATATTTTCCAGTTTCCAGAACAACCTCTTATGTGGAACTCTG